ACCTGTTAGCGGGAGGGCCGGCGGAGGCGCATGTTCCGCGGATTCCCAATCCCGCCTCTGCGAGTCGGGAACTGGCAAGTCGGATCGCCAATTTCTACACAAGAATCTGCCACACAGTTTAAATGTCAATGACAATAATATATATATAAAAAAAAGCCAGGGCGCTTAGCTTTGCGCTAACTTTCCCCTTAATATCAGCGCCGGCGCTTCCCTCATTGGCTGGGCTGCCCCCGTGACGTCACGGCGGAGAGCAGTTAGAGCGGCCGCTAAGCTAATAAGCCATTTTCGAGAAGGCAGAGGAGCTCCCAGCGCCGGGCTCGCTCACCTTCCCGCGGCCATTGCTGAAACTTCGAGGCTAAGGCGAGGCGCACGTGGAAGGCGGCGGGGCCCGCGTCTCCAGCCTCTCTCCGCCCGTTGCGCTGGATCCGGCTGCGCAGGGAGGCTCTTTGCTCCACTTCGCCGCGGACAGCTTGTCAGAGATTGGGGAGGAGGGGGGGAGGAGTGCCCCCCTCCCGTTTCCAAAGTATCCCGAATCTCCCTTTTCTTGGGGTCCCCTTTTTTCGAGCTCGCTCCTTTGCCCTCCCCGCCTCCGCCCCCCCCCCCCAGTTTGTATTCCGCTCTCTTCTTTGGCTTTACTTCTGTGTCCTTGCACAGCAAATTCCGCTGTGTTCCAGCTATTTAGTAGCCTTGGCTACTAAAAGTCGCTGGACAGGTTACTAGGCTGGAGATCAACGGGCCTCCGTCAAGGGACCCAAAGGAGTCTGGAGGAGGACGTGGCTTTTCTTCCCTGGGTCTCTAAGGCGCAACACAGTCCATACGCACCTCTCCGCCCACGACTCAGCCACCTTGGCTCCCAGGTTTCTGCTTCTGGGACGGCTCCAGCCCAAATCTAACTCGGGCTTTGGGTTGGAGACCTCGGTTGCAGCAAGAGGGAAGGCAGGTTGGGCTGACGACGATTGCCCGCGTTTTGCTGTTAATGGGAATGGTGTGTTATGTATAAAATTGGCCAGCTAAAAAAAGCTGGCTCACGCGCGGAGAGAGAAATTTCGAATGGAGATAAGTCGACAAATTCTCATATTTCTTTGACTCTTCCCCCCCCCTCCCAGCGTCCCCCAGGTCTCAAAGATTTAGAAGATAGTAGACCGACAATGTTCTCTTTAAACCTTAGGAGGCTGGGAAAGTGAAGTTCTTTTCAGGAAGTGAACATCCTGTTTAACGGGTACCCCCAACTCACTTCTCTATCTTTAAAACACTCGTCTCTAGGGTGGGTCATGTCTTTTCACCGCAGTGTCCTCCTGATGTCTTTTTGAGGGGCCTTTCCTGGGAGTAGAAGATTAGTGGAAGGAGGAGAACTGGAATTACAGAATTATTTGTAATGGTTTGACTAAGTTTTATAACCCATCAATTATTTTTTCAATAGCGAGAATTTTACTGCTCTCTCCCAGTAATATTGGTGAGCTAGTCCACTTGGAGAAGCCAGAAGTGAAGCCTTGTGCAAAAGGGCTGTGAACTCACTTCGGTTCTGGTAATCAAAATAATTTCCTGAGACCACCGATTTCTATTTCAAGTGCATGTTTTCTGCACCGAGTGATTGCTTTTTGTGGAGAGGGGGGAAAGATGTATTTTAAATAAATTATATTGGATCCCACGAGCTTAAAAATGTGCTTGTTCCTTTACTTTTTGAACCACGAGGGATTTTTATTTTCTGGGAGGCAATGATAATCCTTTTCCTATTAAGGTACTATTCAGAGATAAAGTCTCCTGTATCTTATCTACTTAACATCAATGAGAATCGCCAGCTATTATTTATTGGGAAACTCTGTTTCCATTTTAGTATGGGTTTCCATTCTTCATAGATTGACAATATTGAGTTCTTTGGTCAGGAAATTAGACCGTGGTGGAAAGTTTCAGATGTGGTTTAACTGTACATTAGTATTTCAGAAATATTTCTGGGGAAAATGTCTGGCAATGGGTTCCTGAAAAGTGCTGGAAGAAAAAACTCTCACAAGAGTAGGTTGTTTTCTTTAAACAATGTTCTCCTCTTGTTCCTTTCCCCCCATCTCACTCCCCCTCCCCTATATCCTACTTCCTTTCTTGATTCTTCCCTTTGACACACTTGCACTACAAGCTAATGCTTCACTCCTCAGAAGCAGGCCCCAGGTGGGCAATTGATTTTGAGGGCTGCAACTCCATTGCAAAATATTGGAGCTACTTTAAATTCAAGGCACAGATATTCTCTTTAGTCATTTTTCAGGGTTTTTTTTATTATATTAAGTGACGTAAATAAACCTATTAAATTAAGATTCTCTCTGAGTTGTTCTTCAAAGAATGTGGTGAGCATAATTGTATGTTTGTGTTGTCAAGTGCTTTCTTGGGAGGTTCCCTCATTTGTCCAAACACATTTTCAGAACAACAAGGAAACTATCCTTGATCTACCAAAGACCTCAGACCTAGGTGGATTGCTTTCCCACGGACCTCTCTATTGTGGAGAGACTCCGAACTGACAAGAATGGGAGTCCAGTGTATTGTTGCCTCATTCCCTCCCCCCCCCACTCTCTTTAGGATCTTAGCTTTGGAGAATATTCAGCTGAGGAACCCTTGGACATCATGCCTTGTAGAGACTTTGATGGCAGCTTGGCTGCATCAACATTCACAGGTCCCAACATCCTGAAACCCCAGGCTGAGGATGTCTTGGAGATCTACCTTAACGCCAGCAGAAAGCAATGGTTTCTTGAGCTTTTTTTTTGTATGTCTGGGGCTGAAGGTGTGAGCCCACGGAGATAAATTAAAATGCTGAAAGAACCAGAAAGGTAACTCAGTCCATCTCTTGGGTCTTTAGCTAAGAGGAAGTCTAACTCTACCAAACTTTGGATCTTACCTTTCCAGCCCCTGCTTAGGATCCAACCTTAAGGTCCCTGAATACTAGCCTTCTATGGAGTGAAAAGAATTTCTGAAGGAGACCCCTGCTGGATTGAGGTGGGAGTGGGGTGGTGGTCCTGCCACAGACAGGGCTCCAGGTGAAGTAACCTTCAGTGCGGGATAAGGCTGAACGATTCTTTGCATCCTATTCCAAATATTAGTTCGCTAAGTGGGTCCCCTCCCACGAACACATTTACTCAGCCCTGGACGTGGTGGCTAGAGAGAAACCTGCGGGAAAGAAAGGCTCGAGAGAGGGAAATGGAGCATCAAAGGGCTCAGCAGAACTACTGAAGGGCCCCCCTCCCCCCCGGAGGAAGACAACCCCTGGTTTTCTCTGGTTCCTCGCCTGACGCCCAGCCTTCCTCTTGCCCGTTTGTCTACGCCAGGGGTTCTCAACCTTGATAACTTTAAGACTTGTGGACTTCAACTCCCAGAATTCCTCAGCCAGCAAAGCTGGCTGAGGAATTCTGGGAGTTGAAGTCCACAAGTCTTAAAGTTGCCAAGGTTGAGAACCCCTGGGTCTGCGCCGTTTTCTAGGCCACCAGCGCTTTGCAAGGGGACGAAGAGGGCCGCGCTGCCCCCCGGAAGGCTTCCTCCCTCCCGAGGGGCGGGCGGGCGCGCTGAGCCAGAGATTTATCAGGCAGCCTGTTTGCCCGGTTGTTTGGAGTTGCTGCCATTAAGACTCGGGCTCCCTGCAACCCAGCAGGGTTCTCCAAGGAAGCGCTGGAAACGCCACGCTCCCGCCTGCTTATCTGGCTGTCAATAAAGGAGATGGCTCCGAAAAGCAGGGCCAGGTGCTGCCTTGCCTTCGCGGCCAAGCGGCGCGGCTCTTCAGAAACCGATCAGGCGTGAAGCCAAGGCTGCTTGGCCGGGCCTCCGCGGCGAGCAAACAGTTCCCCGGCCAACGCCTGAGTGCCGCTCGCTTCGGCTCGCCTCGGGGACCGCTCCAGGGCGCCGCACCGGGCTGGGTTAGAATTAAACACTAACCCAAGAAACGCCCCGGCCGGGCAGGACCGGACCTTAGGTGTGGGAACGGATGCCTGATCCTGATCTGATTTGGATTTGACAGCAAATGAAACGATAGGCCCGATCTTGTTCGACGTGTCCCTGAAAGGGGGGGGGGCGGAGGGCGCCCAAAGAGGGCCGCCCTCTTGATATTTCGGATTGTTCAGTCACCTCCATTGGATCAGATAGCAATTTAATTACCCGTTGCTTTTCTCTCCCTCCCGCCGCTCCCCCCCCCCGTCCACGACACATTTTCAGGCGATTTTCACTCGGTGTCTCCCTAGTGCGGAGTGACAGGCAATAGGAACTGAAAACTCCTTTCTCTCCGCGCGCGCAAACGCTCACACACTCCCAATCCCCCTTAAGGCTCCCTCTGTGGCCTCCCCTCCACTAAAGCCGGCCAAGACGGGCGCCGTATTAGATCCGAAACGCTCCCCACGCTTTTCCTAACCCGGGCTTAGGTGTGAGGTGGCGGGAGGGAGGGGGGGGGCTCTCCAAACTTTCCTCAATCAGGAACAGAGGAGTCACCTTAAACAGAACTCGTGAGCTTGGCAGAAGAGGCCTGCGGTCTCCCATTCTCGCCTTCTTCACCCCTTCACTCCCCCACCTACCCCCCCCCGCCCGTTTGCAGGTTGATTCTTGTTCTTTCCCCTCTTTTCAGCTGACTTTATTGCACACCATTTATAGCTCTCCAAAGCTGGCGCCATGAAAGCTTCCCCTTTCCAGGGTGACATTAGCGGGGAAATTAACAGGCCGTCTAGGTAGATAAAGCGCTAATGAGGGCACTGAGCCCGGAAAGGGAGGGGGGGGAGGCGGGGAGAGAAAAGCAAGCGCTGCTTTCAATGGAGGCGTTTTGCTGCTCCGGATTTCTGATGGACAGAAGACCTGAAAGCTGTGAAGCCTCTTTGAATGGGTAGGCAAGCAAGGAGCAACAGTAATGTGTTACAAATTTATAAGCACTCTACATATTTGATTTACACTGCGATAGTTCTCTCCCCCCCCCGTTCTCCTCTTCCTTTCTGCAACACTCCCCCCCCCCGTGTGTTCACTTAGATAGAGCAATTCTCAGCGCGCACACGCACGCACACACGCGCACACACAAGCTGTAATAATGAGGTTTAATTCTCTATCCAAGCAGAACTTGAGCAATAATAATAAGCCCATCAGAACAATTTGTTTACTGGCATCGAACAGACGGCAAAATAAGGTCCGAGAAAGGCTGGCTGCACGAAACAGTTTAAAGGGGGAAAATGACTTCAAGCGAGTCAGAAAGAGGGAGAAAATCTGAGGAAGACACAAGGCTTGGATGCGTGTAGAAGGTGATGGTGTTCCAGTAAAAGGACTCTGGTGGCGTTGTCCGAGGTATGTGTTTTTTAAAACTAGTTTCCCCCCCCATAGGCGTAAGACTAATTTCAGAGCATAAATAGCTCCCAACTGTCACCTCGCCTTTCTATTTTGTCACCTAGAAGTCCATATCTAATTTGTATACTTAATTGCCTAAGTACCTTTCCTAGCGGTATTTACCTTGAAGATTACTTTTTAAGGATGAGGTTACAAGACTTAAAGTATAGTCAGTAGCAAGAGGAAGACATTGCTGTTTTCCGAGACATAAATCATATGGGGTTAATATATAATCCAATTTGGATTAAAATCGATGACAAAACTTTCACCAGCTGTAATTGGTCAGGGTAGCTGTATTAACAGTCTCAGTCCAACCCTCCATTTATAAAACTGCAAGACATACGTAGTTCTATTCCCCTTGCATGTTGTTAGTCAGCCCCCCCCCTTCCCAGTTTTACTACTGCCTGGTATAATTTTATAATACTGGCAAATCTTGGCATAGCTCTCATTCCTGTCCTGAGCACATGGTGAGAAAAATTTCTTTCTTTCTGAAGCTTGAGAGACCTGGTCATAGGTGTTCTGCATCCCAATGAAATGTAAAGGCTGTGAGTTTAAAGTTTTGGGGCCTAAGAAGCCTTGTTAAGGTAAGGCCTCCTAAATTAGTTGGGATTTCTGGACAAACATATCTGGCTCCCTTTGTAAATAAAAACAAGTGATTTGGAAATGAAAAATGGGATTCCTTTTTTTGGTTGTTATTGGGGATATTTGCTGCTGGTTATTAAATAAAATGGGGCAAGGAAGAAGACTATTCAGGGCAACCTTGATATGAGCAGACAATGAGATCCTCGTGGTCAGGCAGATGTAGTCCAAAAAAGTGTGCAGGTAGGAACGCCATTGCCATTTGAAACTCAGGTATCCCCACCTTCTGGTTTGTAAGCTATTCAGGAAAGATGGAAAGAAGGAAGGATGGAAAAGAGGATAAAGAGAGGTCTTCTTTTTTTAAGGAAAATTAGAATAATTTCTATGAAGTTTTAAGGATCAGCAAATGCAGAGGGCTACATCCCTAGTTTAAGGTTTATTTGGGGCGAAGGGGGAATCAAGCTTCAGGAGTCTTAATTTGGCTCCGAAGGGATTCAGGCTTATCTGGCATTCTCTCCTTCCAACACCCCCTCCCCAAACCCCTCCCCCAATTTCTTAATAAACACGATGCTGGCAAATGTTGCTTGATTTGTTTTTCTGCCCCACGTCCCCGAGCACTTGTGCCCCCGCCTTTTTTTTTTTTTTTTCCTCCCCGGACTGAGACATTAGCTGAATTCCCTGGGGGTGATTGGATGCAATTCGCTGAAAGTCGACAGGCACGTCCTGGATGTTAGAAATTCACTTTTCCTCGACGTGACAAGACTGAGTTCGATCTACAATTGCATTTGAAAGGGCAGCGGGCGGAAAGATCTCCCTATTATTAATGCTTCTCCTCTCCTTTAGCAAAATAACAAGATACTTCATTTGCACACACGCGCGCACACCCACACCACACACACCTTTAAAAAGAGTAGGAGTAAAATGCCCCGACCCTCAGTGAGTCTAACAATTAGAACCTCTTGCCGCATCATTTGCAATCAGGCAGGAGAGAAATAAAGTAAATTAAAAAAATAATAATAATAAAGGGAGGAGGTGCAAGAGTTTTCTCCGAAAATATCGGAGCTTTCCCAAAGCGACCATGTGACCCAGTTGACTTTAAGAAAAAAAAAACTTTAAATCTTGAATAAGATGTGAGTTGTAACAAGGGGATTTGCGCTTACTCCTTGACCCTTGTAATTGGATTAAATATAGACTGAGACGTGCAAACCAGACCAAGATTGACATCTGACAACTGGGCTTCCTTATGATTGATTGTAATGCTTCGTGCTGGCAACAATAATGAAATAAATTGTATGGATAAAGCAGCGCGTTTGTCATTTCCGTGCCATAAGATAAAGGGAGATAAAGCGGGGCTGGCAAGCTGTTAGCTGACAGCCCGATACCGAGCGGGCACGTTTAAAAGAACTAAAAACAAGGAGGCCAGTCGCTGACAGGACAAATGATAACTTGTCACTACCTTCTTAAATCTTCAAGTTTGTCAATTAACATATAGATTGCGCTCTCGCTCTCTCCTGCGCTGAGAGAGAGAGAGAGAGAGAGAGAAGCCTAGAACTGTCGAAACCCCGGGAGGCGCCAACATGGCGTCGTGGCTCCTTGCTTTCCCGGGCAACGAGTCTCCGAGAGTGCATTGAAAGGGCGCCCAGAGAGGCGCAGAGGACCTGCAGGAAGGCGCTCGGATGGCAACGGCGCCACCACTTAGAGGACAATAATAAGCAGCAGATGAGCTCGAGGGAGGCCTCCCGGGGAGGCGTTCAAGAGCCACCCAGAAAGGCTCGCGCTCTGCCTGTGCTGGAAAGAGGCGAAGTTCGCCGCAGGCCTCAAAGCCTGGCCCTGACCGCCACGAGGCTTTGGGAGGAGTTCAAGCTAAAGGCGCCATTTGACCTTGACAAAGAAAGACTGGTTATTATTATTGATATTATTATTAACAACAATAATAATAAAGTAGGGACGGGCGGGGACAAGAAGCAAGCGCTAGCTCCCCTCTAGCACGGAAGGAGATGCCTCTGCCTTAGCCCGCGCACGTGGGAGTAAAAGCCCCATCTCCGCCCCCCCCCCCCGCCAGCCCCGATTTCTTCCGCGAGCGCCCCGCTTTCAGCCAAACTGGATGATTCCAAAGGCCGAGGCACCGCCCCGCAGGCCACGCCCTCCCGAACTTGGAAGCCCCTCGCGGCGGTCAGCGGGGTTTTCTCCTAACTGCCTCCCAGAGAGCCTCCGGGGCAGCTGATCCCGCCGTTTGTTTGTTTTAGGGACGAGAAAGCAGCGCCTGCCTCGGTTATTTTCCTTTCGCCTGTCAGCATTTTCTCCTCCGAGCCTCCTTCGGCTATGCCTCACTTAAGCCGAGGGAATCCTGCCGTCCTTTTCTCTGCCGTCCTTTACTCTAATTCCGAGTCTTCGGGGGTGAGGTATTAGGGGGTTCTCTAAGAGGAGCTGCTTCGGGCTCGGTCCTGCGCGGAGTCCCATGTGCCGGGAAGAAGTGGCTTCTCATCCGTACCCTCCGATAGCCTAACTAGTCACCTCCTTTTGCAACCAGCCTCAGGTGTGCATATAGAAAAGGTGGCAGAGGGTTTTAGTCACTTGCTTGAGAAGTTCCCCTACACATCCCTAATGCATTTTCTGACCTTCTGCTTGGAACAGGCAGGAGATCAGCTGGCGGTATCTCCTCTGATTTGACTATGCTCAAACTTCTTCCTTGCAAACTAGTTTGGGTGAAAAGGGGGACATCAGGCTGCTCTAGGGAATGAAAGGCCGCATTCCTCACAGGCCTTATCCTGGAGCCATTCAACTGCAAAAGGACTTACTCTGACTCAGTCTGCTCCCCCAGAGGAGAAGAGGCATTTAAGGAGCCTGTGGTCCACTATCTTTGGTCCCTGGGCCATGATCTACTTAATGCTGGAAGGGCACAGCTCCTGTAAGCCAGTCCACAATCCAGCTAAGCGGAAATTCTTAACCACCAGAATTCTTTTGCATTTTTCAAGGACCGAAGCAGGCCTATAGTTAATTCAAATTTGAAAGTAAATTCCATTGACCTACTTCTGAGCAGGAATGCAAAAGATTGCATGGGGGATGCAGCACAGCCTATCAGCTAGCTTGAACACACTGCCTGTTGGAATTACTTCTGGATAAGCATACAAAAGCTTACTTTGCCAACCTCTCAGATTTTCCTGTACTTTGGATTATTGGATTCTGGTTTCCTTGTGAGCTTTGAGTCTTTGTTGAATAATTCTTCACATGCACAATGCATACACACACTTCTTCACAAGTGTTGCAATAATAGTAATAATAGTAATAGTCAGGAATCATAGAGGGAGAAGACATGTTGCAAGCAGATCTTAGACCAGTGAGCATCTGGCAAAATCTTACCTTAAGCTGCAGCTCTGTTTTAGAGTAAAGCCCACTGATACCAATGGGCCTGTTTTCCAGGGAACAGCTGAGGAAGGCATGCCCTTAAACTGGGCCAATATAGTATAACAATTTGACCATCCATTAGCACTCACCACTGTGTGCTCAATGCTACACCTTAAGTCCTCCTAATCTGGTGACCTCCGACATATGTGGGTTACCCCAAATGCCCCACCAGCATGATTGTTGGGTGTATTGTTGGGAATTTTGAGATTTGTAGATCTGGAAGGCACCAGGGGGTTGAAAAACATACAGGGGCTATTTCAAACAGATGTCTTCTTTTTATCTGGGCTCTTTTAGGAAGAGTTGGGTTTAAGGTCTGCTTTTAGTGTTATATATCTGGTGGCCCAATCACAGAGATTGAGTCATTTGAGTTCTCTTGGTGATAAAAATGCAGCGAGGGGGTGGTGGGGAGAGAAGAGAAAGCCAGAAGAACAATAATCAAAATCTTAGCATATGGCATTAGCAGCTCTATTAGAACTATTAATAATTTAAAGTAGAAGTCCTGTCTGTGATTTGACTCAAGTAAAACTGGTTCACTGGTTTTCTGGATATTTCCTTCTTATAATCAAGACTAAAAGTGTAAATCACAACACAGTTTATTTGAGAGCAAGTACTGGAAGTAATCACATTGCATTCTAGCAAAAAGTTTGTGGATTTTCAATTCTCAGCAGGAAAGAACCAAATTTGCATTTGAAAATCATCATAAACAAGTCAGTTCCAGCCCATGGTCCTTCACATTTCTGTCAAGATATGAATCACATCTCAGAATGGTGTACACTATATTCTCCTCTCCTTTTAATTTTCAAAATAATTGCTTTGTTTCCTAATTTACTCAAACTTCAGTTTATAGGGAAAATAAAAAAATAGCTGTATATCTCATTTCTAAAATTTAAATGTTGAAAGTGATTTGAATTAGGATAAAGAATAAGGAACAGGAGGGAAATATGAGGGGGAAAGGGACAAAACAGAAGTTCCATCGA